ACAGAAGCACACACCTCATTCATCTCTGCAGTTATGCGATAGCTCCAGTTAATCCACCGCTGCAAAGAGATTTTTTTTCTTTATTTCATCGTTTTTAAAACAAAAACAAGCAAAAACAACAAAGTGATGGAGCTTGTTTATAACGGCACCTGACAATTTAGTTATAATTCAGTGGAAATAACACCAATAATATCCATGTATTGAAATTATTTAAAATACCGTGGTGATTTTATTTGCTAGGAATATCAGGCTTTAAAAACTAGGTGTTAGTTCAAAAAAGAACTTCTTCACATTTTCTTTTTGAAAATGCTTGCATTCAGTTTAATTTCATGTGGCACTGTTTGGCCTTTCTAGAAAGTGAAAAGCATTCAGAGCAGTTTTCACGGCCAAGCAAACACCTTTCAAGTTCAAGGTTATATGGTAGACAGTTATTTGGTCTCATTAGCTCCATTGTCCTCTTTGAGTTAAGAAAAGAGATACATTAAAAGGGAAACTCGTGAGCTGAGACTCAAATTGTCATGTTTATAATATCATGGCACCTGATCCTGATATTCAACACATTCCATGCATAATATTCTGATGTCAAACCCTGCTTCAAAGTCCTGACATGCAGTCTATTATTACCAAAGAGAAAACATGAGATTGATCTTCAGCGCTACTTTGCCTGCTCATACACTCAGTAAATGTATGTGCCCCCTAAAAGGGGCATTATGCTTCATGACAGAGGGAATTTTAAACGTGTGGTCTGGATATCGTCATTAAGATAGGAGGGTTCTGGCGCCTGTGGCTGTCCAGGATGACGTTTCTGTCACCTGATACCTAAACCACAATCTAGGGAGCTACAGTCATAGCAGGATGTAGCTGAATTTCAGTTGCAATCTTACCATTTTATCTCGTTGTCTGTGTAATTGTGTAAATAAAAGCTGGTTTTAGTGAGTGTGTAGATTCTTTCTTAGTATTTAGCCTAGTGCATACATGTGCTTATTTAGCTCCATAAGTAAGTGAACACTTAATATACAGAGTAGGCTACCCTTCCTAGAAATATGACATTTAAATTACACAAGTAGCTGAAATACCGCACCACTGCTGGAACTTAAAAACTGTTAAACAAAATAATTTTATCAAGAGCAAGAAGGTCATAGGATTTTCTCAGTTATCATATCTTTTTTTTGTCTGGACAGTTTCAAATAACATGTCAACACGAAGTCTTCTTCTAGCACATCGGAGTAACAAATATAAAGTACAAACACGGATGTTTCTCGTACACTGAGCAAGAGTTACAGGTATGGGGCAAAATAATGTCGAGACAAAAGATCCTAGTGTTCATTCTGACAAGATGGATTATTATTAGGCTATTATTTTGAACATTTAAACGAGTTCCGTGTGATTTTAAAAGAAGGAAAGATTTTTGCGTGCATATGTCAGGGCTAATATGACTGATTGATAAAGACGCGCGGAGGATTGGGTGTCAACTCGAGCTCGGGTGACTCGAGTAAACGGAGTCTGAGCTGAATTATAATTCGCCAAGAACTAGGACATGGTGGCTCCGCCCACTTATCAAAGATCAGCTCGTTGATTGGACAAAGATACGCGAGTGAGGCGGAGTCTATGTGTGTGTCATGAAGCGTGACCAAACTATGATTGGCTTTCGTCTCCCACCATCAGAATCCGAATAGCGGCTCCTAGAGCCAAACCACATTTTACACATTAAGAAACTGTTTCTGGTAGTGTCGCTGGTACTAAGACAGGATAAACAATATCGTGCCCTCCTGGTCACTGTTTTCAAACTGAAGAAGTTTAAATGGTCCTTCAAGAAAGCAAACCAGCGAGAAATAATTTCCTTATGTTTTATTTTAAATAATGTGTAGATGATAAAGCTCTTTCCTCTTTGAAATAAGACGAACACAATTCCGATTAAATCGACGGAGAACTCACTTGACATGCATTTCACGGACCTCCACGGACTACTCCAATAACATAAGGTAAACCTCGGGAAACATGAAATGCGTAGCCTAAATTATATCTGATACGTTCAAATATTGAATCAAACCTGACATTTGTTCATATCTGAATTATTGTCGTCATCTCGTATGACTTAATGCAGGTTTGTAATAACAGTTGTCTGAATGTGTTTATTTTCTATTGTGCTATCCATGACAGGTGTAATATTTGGCAGGGGGCTACGTGGCTTAATAGGAAGTAAAATGAATATGTTTATAGACAGGCGCATCTTTCGTATTAGCTCGTTGTGTCAGCACGCGCACATTTCTCGCTGGCTCGCGCACTGTTCTGCTGTCACGCGCGTGTGAATGCTCTGTTTGTCTACATGTTGCGAGGGCGCATCTAACTGCTTGGCAGCGCTTGGTCTCTCTGTGCGAACCGCCGCTCTTCCCCAACCCCCGTTGGTTGC